CCACGACGCCGATTGAGCTGGGCCTCCACGACCCTCTCGAGGCCCCCCTTCGGACCCGCGGATCGGCTCCTCTCGGCGCCCAAGTATGCCAGCGCCAGCGCCGCACCCTGCTTGAACAGCTCCCCTTTGAACCCCATGATCTTGGTGATATGGTCCTCCTCGATCTGCTGCTGGTGGAGCGCCGCGCGGAACGAGGGGGCCGTGTTGATCGAGTAGAGGAGCTTCGCCCTGCCTGGATCTTGCGCTGCAGGAAGCACCTCCGTGATGAACGTCACTCCGTACGGCTGCTCCAGCTGCTCGAGAAACTCCGTGAAGCTCTGGAGGACCCATTGCATCGACGGGTCGAGGTCCTGTTTGTTCTTGAGCGCCTTCGTGAGCTCCTCGACTAGTGTCGCCGCCGCGTGGCCGTCAGGTGGTCCGAGCCCGTGGCCCTTGCCCGCCGCCTTCACCCTCCTGCCGTACTCTCGGCCTGTCTCGATCGGCGCCTGGGCCCAGTCCTCCAGGAGGGGCACGAGCCAGAACTCGCCTGCGATGTGGCTCAGCGCGCGGAGCCCTGCGGCGTTCTGGAGCGCGAGGCGCTGCAGGGCCCGAATGCTGTCTCGTAGGTCGCCCTGGGCTCCGTGACCGTCGCGTCCTCCACCTCCTGGGTTGCCTTGCCCTCCGCCTCCTGCTCCCGCTCCTGGGCCGCTGGCGGCCGCGCCCCGTTCGCCTGCGTTCGCCTGCCTCTGCGGGCGGGCGTGGGCCTCCTGCCGGGGGCGGGCGCTTGGTGGCGATGATGCGCCAGTCCGCTGGCACCTCGTCGCCGCCGAGTGCTGTGTGCCGCTGCCCCCTTCGCCTCGCGGATCTGGCCGGGCGCAGCAAGATGTGTCCGTATGCGTGCGTGAAAGGCCTCGAGGTCTTGAGTTTGGTGGGCACAGATGGGGCGAACTAGCGCGCGTGGCTCCTGGACAGGGTGGTCCCACTTCGCACGGTCCTGGTGACAGATGCCGCGGTAGTGGACCGACCTAGTGGCATGGCCGATCGCGGTCTTGCGGTCAACAAAAGTATTTTTGCATCAGGGGCACTGGTATGTGGCTACGACTGATGCCACCACAGGTCGTATATTGTGGGCTTCCCGTCCGTGGCCCGCTAGGGCCGCGTACGTAGGGACGCGTTATCCGCAAGTAGTCTCGACCCCGTCTGCATCTGTCGTAACGTGGTCACCAGTATGGTCGTGCCAAAACCTCCTCTTGCCCCTCCAGCTCCTCCTCCCGCCTGGTCAGAACATCCCAGTTTCTTGCAAAGCTGTGCAGGGCCCTGGGGTCAGTTTGTAACCAGCGATGTTGTTCCATACTTCCCTGCTCAAAAATGGCAATGCCCGAATCCCTGCTCTCGCACCGCCCCATTCCCTCGTCCACCTGTACTAGTGTCTGCATATATGTCGCAAGCTGTTTTGCCCAGGGGGTGGAGTCTGGGCCGATCCAGCTCATAGCTGTTAGTCTCAGAATACCTTGTGAAACGTCGAGCCGAGACGATACGAATACTGCGGCTAGTACTGCGCCATGCTCTTTGGGATCGCGGGCCCACCTTTGGCACCATCGCAATCGTCGTACCATGAGCGACACGCTCGTACGTTCCATACGCCAGTATCGAAATACCTGTCGGAGTTTGTTGCTTCCGCCCCCCGTACCCAAGACATCGCCCCGCATGCCAGTGTGCGTACATACTTGCCCAGTATACTGTCACTGGCGTTAGTATGGATCGTAGCGATGGCGACGGCAGCAAGGCCGCTGAATGCTGCACCAATGACGAAGGCCATGCACATCAGTCGTGTGATTTGTCTGGGCGTCGCGCTAGTCCAGAAGGTGCCGCATTGTCGCCAGGCGATGCGCGCGGCGGCGATGCGCCTAGCGAGTTCGCCCGCGATGCCCTGACCCGGTGGGAGGTAAGGGCCGAGCACCCTCATCTCTTGCAGTGCTAGGCCTTTGAGCGTGGTGCTGCGTCGGAGCTTGCGAGTAGTACCGTAGCTTCCATGACCAACGATGGCCCCACCCCCCTTTCTGCAGCGTCGCTGACAGGTGGTGGGTGGTGTCGTTGAGTTGCTCCTCGATCTGAGTCGCACTCGCCTGTGGTGGGAGGGCCTGCACGTGAGTAATGCCGCCCATGAACGCATTTAGGCCGATGCCGTGAGTTTTTCCGCTTATTGGGTCGTAAGTGTCGTGTAGCAATTGGTTGGGGTCGCTTCTTTCGGTAACCCACCACTGGCCCACGTAGATGTTGTAAGCGTCGTTGAATTGCTTGGGGCAGAGTGTAAAGCCCATTTGGGCGCCTGTGGTGCTCTCAGCCTCGGTTTGTCCGTCTGCGGTGTCGAGGCTGAATGTGGAGTGGTCGATGGCCGCCATCGCGAAGCGCTGGTCGCGCTCGTGGGCGTTCTTGAAGGCAACTGCCCGTAGGAGCGCCTTATTGGTAGCAGCAAATGCGTTGGTGCCGTCGTGCTTCGTTGTTACTGTGCTGACTCCACCTTGCGCCGCTCGCCATTGGGCAGCTTGTACGCAGAGTATGCAGTTTTCGCGGCATCTGTGCGGTAGGCCGCCTTGGGCCCACGGTGGGTGGTCGGGCGGTGGTCGGCGCTGGTGGATGCCCGAGTGCCAGGCCATGCCGAAATCGTCGTAGACGCGTAGTAGTCGTTCGCCAAGGATGCCTGGTTTGTTGTTACCTAACAGCGAAGACTGATAGGTTTCTAGTAGGGTCAAAAGGGAGAGAGAGAGAGAGAGAGAGAGAGAGAGAGAGCATCATGACTCCCCAGGGGGGTCTGGGCGGGATCTGGACGGGTGCCGGGGAAAACCGGGGACTCCGTTTTTAGCCAAGATTAACGCACTTCGTGGTCTTCGAGTTCCCAGAATTCCATTCCTGGGCATGATTTTGAATGCCCGGAGCCAACTGTAGGCCATTTCGTGTTCTTCGAGTTCCCAGAACTCCATTCCTGGGCATGAGTTTGAATGCCCAGAGCCAACTGTAGGCCACTTCGTGTTCTTCGAGTTCCCAGAACTCCATTCCCGGGCCACATTTTGAATGCTGAGGCAGGCTGATGCTGAGGCTGAGGCAGGCTGAGGCTGAGGCAGGCTGAGGCTGAGGCCGAGGCTGAAGGCAGACTGAGGCTGAGCTGGCTGCAGGCTGATGCTGAGGCTGAGGCTGAGGCTGAGGCTGAGGCTGATGCTGGCTGAGGCTGAGGCAGGCTGAGGCCGAGGCTGAAGGCAGACTGAGGCTGAGGCTGAAGCAGGCTGAGGCTGAGGCTGAGGCTGAGGCAGGCTGAGGCTGAGGCTGAGGCAGGCTGATGCTGAGGCAGGCTGAGGCTGAGGTTGAGGCTGATGCAGGCTGAGGCTGAGGCAGGCGGAGGCTGAGGCCGAGGCTGAAGGCAGACTGAGGCTGAGGCTGAAGCAGGCTGAGGCTGGGGCAGGCTGAGGCTGAGGCTGAGGCTGGGGCAGGCTGAGGCTGAGGCTGAGGCTGATGCAGGCTCAGGCTGAGGCAGGCTGATGCTGAGGCCGAGGCTGAAGGCAGATTGAGGCTGAGGCTGAAGCAGGCTGAGGCAGAGGCAGGCTGAGGCTGAGGCTGAGGCAGCCTGAGGCTGAGGCCGAGGCTGAAGGCAGACTGAGGCTGAGGCTGAAGCAGGTTGAGGCTGAGACTGAGGAAGGCTGAGGCTGAGGCTGAGGCAGGCTGATGCTGAGGCAGGCTGAGGCTGAGGCTGAGGCTCATGCAGGCTGAGGCTGGGGCAGGCGGAAGCTGAGGCCGAGGCTGAAGTCAGACTGATGCTGAGGCTGAGGCAGGCGGAGGCTGAGGCTGAGGCAGGCTGAGGCTGAGGCTGAGGCAGGCTGAGGCTGAGGCAGGCTGAGGCTGAGGCTGAGGCTGATGCAGGCTGAGGCTGAGGCAGGCGGAGGCCGGGGCTCAAGGCAGACTGATGCTGAGGCTGAAGCAGGCTGAGGCTGAGGCTGAGGCAGGCTGAGGCTGAGGCTGAGGCAGGCTGAGGCTGGGGCAGGCTGAGGCTGAGGCTGAGGCAGGCTGAGGCTGAGGCTGTGACTGTGACTGCAGTTGCCACTGCGACTGTCATCGCGAATGCGACTACGACTGCGAGATCAGCAGAATTCGACAACTGGATTCTCATCTGAATATTAAGGGGAATGCTTCCAGATATGCTCCTACACATCGCTGTTAGGTTGCTTTGCCGGGATATTTTTCTCTGTCGGGAATGTCTGAGAGCGGTGCCAATCTAGTGGGGTGGCTTGGCAATTGCGGCACTGGGTGCGGAACTCTTTTCAGTAGCCTTGGCACTCGTAGTCCAACTCGCTGATCTTGGTGGTTCCTAGTCCTGCGTAGGTACCCCTGCCCACCTCGTAGGATCCATGTGCCCACACTTCTCCGTAACGCGCATCGTGCTGCATGGCCCCCTCTCACAAGTTCGCTGCCCGTTGTCCATCCACACTTCTGCAACAGCTCCCTGCCCCTCTTGAACTTCCCCACAGTAGTGTAGTGGGCTAAGTCCTCCTCGTCATGTCTCCTCTTCGCTGCTACTATTATACCCTCTTCTAGCTGGTCGGATAGTTGAGTCGGATTGTGGAGACGTAGCATGGGGTCTAGCATAACCCATACGAGCTCGGTCGGGACGCCCCAAGCTGGCCAGGCCCGCCGCTGGCACGCGCGTTGACAATAGCGGAGCAGAGCCCTTTTGTCATCGGCAATTTGTCCTTGTAGTTCCGTGTCCATGGGTAGTCTGTTTACGGATTCGGCCGTGTAGTCGCGATGTTGGGCGTGTTCGGATTCTCGATCGATCGGAATCTTGGTTGGTCCCCCGTCTAGTGCAGGTCGAGTAAGTTCGTATAATCAGTACGCCGTGGCCCAGTTGGTGTTTGGTGATAGGTAGTACTTCTTTTTCGGGCCACGTCCGTTCCGCTGGCATGGATTTCTAGTCGGTGCATCTTTGCGAAATTGCTCTGCTGGTAAGCGTCCCAGACTTTCTCAGCTATATGTTCCCTTCTCTATTTCCCCACCTCTCCTACTGCCTCTAGGACAGCACTAAGCTCCTTTTAGTTCGGCCTGTTCCGCATCGTACTCGATCGCTGAGCTCTCATCGGTCAGTCGTGATCGCAAGACTCGTCGTTGCTCGAGCAGCCGTAGTCGCTTTTGCTTGGCCCTGGTAGTGAGTTCGTCTTGTTCGTCGGTCGCACCCGTTTTCGCAAATGTGGTTAGTAGTGCCTTCTTTGCGTCGCCTCCTAGTAAGTCCCAAATAGTATATGGCGTCGGTTCTGCAAGGTCCTCCTCCCGCCTGTCCCTGCCCACCGCCTGCACCTCCTGGTTCAGCTGTTGCATCGGCTGTCCGCGTTTGTGCCCGCTGCGCAGGCAGTCCATCAACCCGCCCCTGCATAGTCCCTGTTGTAGGCGGGCGCGGGGTGGGAAGGCGGCGGTGGAGGTCGAGGCGAGAAGGGTGAGGCCAAGTGGGACGTGGTCGCGGTGGCCTCGCAGTCTGATCTGCTGTAGTCGTTTGCCTGAAAGGCGTAGTATTTCGCGCCGCTTGACTCGGGGGGGGGCTACCTGTAGGAAAAGCTAGGTGGTGCACCGGTGCACCCTACTGGTATTCCCAGAGTGTCCGTAGTACGTATCCACGACATTGTAGTGGGTGGCGACGATACTGAGATCGCTGGTTTCGCACATTTCTCTGAAGCGTGTCTCGTTGGTGTTCTCAACCGTGGGTTGGTGGGGGCCCACAGTAGGGCCCTTACTGCAGACGATGGAGCCGTCGAGTTCCTTATGGCAGCCGAAATCGCTGCTGACGTCGCTCCCCAGTACTGCTGTAACGCGGCATCCTAGCTTGTCTGTGCTGTCTTCCAACCAGTGAGTAAGACTGTCAGCCAGCAGAGGCTAATACCGCTGATGGGCAGGGGCGTAGTAACACACGTAGAGGGCGTAGTCGTAATGGGTCGTAGTTAGGCGGACACCTGCCACGCGTCCCTGGAGGTAGTTGGGTGGGGTGTAGATCTCGCGGATGGCTCTCTCGTCTATGACGTGGCGTATTCGTATGGCCGATCCGCAGCTTTTGTTGACCCACTTCCCCATTCGGGCCCCGAACTGTAGGGCGGCGTGGGAGGGAAGGCAGTTACATTGCACAGCCTCTGGTCCCGCCCAGCGACACGTACCTCTGAGTAGTATGACGTCCCAACTGTGGAGTTCAGCACTGATATCTTCCAATCGTTCCAGTGCCCCGGCCTCCAATGGGTTGCGGCGGCAAGCTCTCGTCGTGCGATGGTGACGGGCGCCGCCATGAGGCCCCCCAGTCCCCCTGCCCCCGAAGCCTGTGGTCTGGGGGCGCAGCGGTGCTGCTGCACAGTTGCACGCGTGGCACGGTCGGCGCGTTTTGCGACCCCCCCTCCCCTCAGCGACTTGGGCGAGGGGAGGGGGGGAGGAGGGGGGGGAAGAGGGTGGCGGTATACATGAGTGCTCTCAACTTGCCAGGCACTGATATCGCAGCTTCGTATGAACGGAGTGCCGGCGTCCTCGCGCGCGTCGACCGTCTTCCGTGCGATGTGGTCATGACCATGTCAAGGTTATGATATATTAGGAGGTTGATATCATTTGCGCCCCCCTTGGCACGAGTGCTTGTGGATGTCGCGTGCACAGAGTTCACGCGTAGGCTCAGTTCTTGAATGAGGACAACGCTTTGCTTTTGCACGGAACCCGCAAAGAGACCCGATGGCCAATTTGTGGCAGGACACTTAATCCTTGTGAGAGCCCGCCCCAATACCTACAGGGCTATGTTAAATCTTGCCACCATTAAAGCTACCTCAAGATGCCCAGTTTTGCAATATTTGGGAAGGAGAACCTTGAGGCCGTCGTGGCAGGGGCATCCCTGGAGGCCTCCCATGTGCTTTGTCTGGTTTTCCGATGCCCCGACGGTTCTTTCGAAGCGCTATCCGAGCACCTTTGGAGGGCCCACCGAGGCAATAAGCATGAGCTTCCAGAGGCTGCCGCTCGGCTCGCCGTTGGTTCCCTGTGCCAAATTTGTCTTCGGGACTTATGCAATCATCCGAGGCTGGTTCAACATCTTAGGAACGCTCCGAGCTGCAGAGTCTCGCGGGCCAGGTCAGGCTACATGTCGTGTCGGGATGAGCTCGCGCAGGCCCGCGATGAGCACAGGCAGGCGATGGCGCTGAACCGAGCGAAGGCACGACCAGACAACAACGCTGAGCATCCTCGCGCAAGACCGCCAGAAGGCGCCAGGGCGCCCAACTCGCGCAAGAAGGCTCGATAAGAAGCAACGCAGTTTGAAAGGATCCCGCCCCCTCCGCCTCCCTCGCCTGCTGGCTTCCGCCCCCGCCCTCTGCCTTGTCGGCCTGCTCTGCGCGTTCAGCGCATGTTTTGCAGGACAGACAGGAGGGGGGTATTCAATGGCACTTTGACGCTTTGCTTGATGCTTTCCCTTCCTAACTTAGTGGCGCTAAGCGTTGATGTACCCAGCCATCCTGCTCTTGGGGA